TTTTTTTCAATAATTTGTTAGTTACAAAAATTATTTTTAATTTTTACACATGGAATTTTTTGGTAATAATTTAAAAAATAATTTTAAAATAAAATTTCTAATATCTGTCAACTTCAGTGTCGATTATTGTTATAATTTCATAATAATAATCAAGTGTAATACAACAAGTAATAAGTAATAGTACTCCATTAAAATTTCTTTTAAATAATTATATTTTATTAATATTATAAGTAAGTATTAACTACAGATACTCTTTAATCTACATAACTACAATTTTGGGTTAAAATCAAAAAACTGTTCCCAAGGAAATTTATTTAATGGTTCCGAATTAATTTTTGGTTCTTCAATAGGTTTCCAATTTAAGTCGAAATTTTTTACTTCACCTGCAAAACAATAAATTAAATTTAAATAATTGTTATATTAAATATTAACATTAATTATTATAATTATAATATTGGAAAATGTGGACAGAAAAATGATAAGAGGTTAAATTTTGGAAACTTACTTTCAGGGATATTTTCAAAATTCTCTGTCTTGCTTTCTACTCCATACTTGTCTCTCTTGGTAACACTCGTGTAAATTTTATCTCCAATTTGGCGTTTTATAGTAGTCTCGCAATTGCCCTCGCTGTCAGTAACACTTCGGCGTTCTTCTACGCTACCATCCGGGCGTCTTATTGTTTGCGAGGTGACAGATTTTCCAAATGAACTAAAATTGAACCTACTTTGCGGTACAACGGGGCTTTCGTTTTTGGGAACTAGCTGGGTTTCATCCACGTCTTTCCAAATCCGTGAAAAATCTTCAGCGCTTATTCTGTAAAGTATTTATGTTAGTAATGATAATAATACTCACAATTTTAAAAAAATTAAAATAGTAATATTTAAAAAAAATATATATTTACTTTCCATCCAAATCTTTGTCGATTTTATAATTTTTATCTTGAGGATTTTCAGTAGCAAAATCATAACCAGGTTTCAAAACTTCGTCACGTGGGCTCAATTTTATTTTATTAGATGGTGGTACTAACTCAGGCAAACTGTTCTGGT